TTCTGTAGGACTTTGAACATGAATGAGTGTTGGACTTTGGCAAAAGCCTTTTCTGCATCAATTGAGATGATCATGTGGTTTTTGGATTTGCCTCTATTAATATAGTATATCACATTTATAGATTTGCATATGTTGAACCATCCTTGCAATCCTTGGATGAATCCTACCTGGTTATAGTGTATAATCTTCCTGTTGATTTGCTGTATTGTATTTGCTAGTAATTTATTGAGGATTTTGGCATCTATGTTCATGAGGGAGATTGCCCTTTAGTTCTCTTTTATAGTTGTGTCTTTCTCTGGTTTTGGTATCAGTATAATACTTGTTTCCAGGAATAATTTTGGGAGAATTGTTTCTTTTTCAATTTCATTGATGAGTTTGAGGAGTATTGGGATTATATCTTTTGTAAATTTCTTGTAGAATTCAGCTGTGAATCCATCCGGACCTGGACTTTTCTTTGCCGGTAGGTTTTTAATTACATCTCCTATTTCATTAACTGTTATTGGGCTATTGAGAGTTCTTATATCTTCTTGATTCAGTTTTGGTAATTTGTACCTTTCTAGGAAGCTGTCCATTTCTTCTGTGTTTTCAATTGAGAATAAAGATTCTCAAAATAGCTACTGATGATCTTCTGAATTTCCACAGGGTCTGTGATAATTTCTTTCCTTATTTCTTGAATTTGAGTTTTTTTCTTTCCACTTTTTGATGAGGTTAGCTAGGGGCTTATCAATTTTATTTAATCTTTAAAAAAACCAGCTTTTTGATTCATTAATTCTTAGTATTGTTCTCTTTGTCTCAATTGCATTAATTTCTACTCTAATCTTTATAATTTCTTTCCTTCTTTGTGCTTTGGGTTTGGTTTGCTCTTCCTTTTCTAGATGATTGAGGTATAGCATTAGAGTATTCATTTGTTCCTATTCTGTTTTCCTACTGTGTGAGTTCACAGCTATAAATTTCTAAGAACTGATTTCATTGCATCCCATAAATTCTGATAAATTGTGCCTGAATTTTCATTGAATTGTAGATATTGTTTAACTTCTTGTTTAATGTCATCTGTAACCCATTGGTTGCTGAGGAAGGTGTTGTTTAATTTCTATGTATTTATGGGGTTTTGTGATTTCTTTTGTCATTTATTACCAGTTTCATTGCACTGTGGTCAGATAATAAGCATTGGATAATTTCTGTTTTCTTGCATATACTTAAGCATAACCTATGGACTAGTACATGGTCTATTTTAGAAAATGTCTCATGTGCAGCTAAAAAAAAAAAATGTGTATTCAGATGTGGCTGGGTGGAGCACTCTGTATATGTCCACTAAGTTCATTTGCTTCAAATTCTGGTCCAGTTCTGCTACTTCTTTGCTGTGTTTTGTCCATTTGACCTATCTTTTTTGTATTAAGGTCTCCTGTTAAGATTGTGGTATTGCAGATGAATGTCCATTTTGTATCTGTGTATTCAAAGTGGTTAGGATAGATATATAATTACATTCTCTTAATGAATAGAATGATTTTTTCTAATGGTGTTTGTAAATAGGATCTCAAGTCCGCATCTTGTACAGCAACTAACCACTAAGAAGAATTATGCAGTGTGTTAATTATTGAAACTGTCCTAGCGATTTGATTTGAAACTGTCTCATTGCTATTTGTTTATCAATAAAATTATGAAAAAAAAAGATTATGGTATTGGATATTAGATTTTTCATGTCCATTAAGACTTGTCTCTAATGGTTGGGTGCTCCTGTGTTTCATGCATACATATTTATGAGTGCTACGTCTTCATCTTGGCTTTTTCCCCTAACCAGTATGTAGTGGCCTTCTTTATTTTGTTTGAACATTCTTGAAGTTGAAACTGTCTGTGAACAGGATTGCTACCCCTGATTTTTTCTGATGTGCTGAGGCATATAGTATTGTTCTTTGACTTTCAGCCTATGAATTTCTTTATGAGTTAAGTGTGTTTCTTTTATACAGAATATTTTTGTTTCTTTGTTTTTCCATAATTTTATTGAGAAATAAATAGCAATGAGATAGTTTCAAATCCAATTAGTATGTCAGTTTCAATAATTAATGCATTGAATATTGTTGTCTTAGTGGTTATTCACTGTACAAGATGCAGACATGATATCCTGTTTACAAACACTGTTAGAACAAATTTTCTATTCACTGAAGTAAGAGAATATAGCTGTATATCTATCCTATTTTGAATATACAGATACAAAATCATTGCTCATTTGTATCCCCTTTTTGTTTAGTTTTGTTATTTAAATATTATAGGTGTTTGAATTCAGCAAAATATTCCAATATATTCCAGTATTCCATAACAGTAATGGGTTTTCCGTAAGACTGGCAATATCAGAAGTTGTTGACTTGAGCTTTTTACAGCTCAGTATATTAATGTGACTTTACTTTTTATACTTCTTTTTTATACTTTTCTGCTGGATGGTTAAGACCAAGATAAATCAAGACCTATATAACAAGAAATGTAGCTTTTATACAGCATATTTTTGGATTATGCTCCCTAATCCACTGTGGCCATCTATTTCTTTTAATTGGTGAATTGAGTCCACTTACAGTAATGGGTATAATTGAGATGTATTGACTTATGATTGACATGTTATTTCACTTCTATTGTGTACCCCTTTTTCTCCGTGTTTAATTGTTTGCCCTATTTGGTGGTTTTTTCCATTCTCATTCATGGAGTTGTGGTCATTTTGGTCCCTCTCTAGAATCTTTTAGTAGTCTGTGCAGGGTTCGCTTTGTCATCATGAAATTCTTTAGTTGTTTTTTGTCATGGAAGTATTTCACTTCTCCATCAAACTTGAATGAGAGTTCTGCAGGGTATAGCAGTCTGGGCTGGAATTTGTTTTCTTGGAGAACTTGAAGTACTTTGCTCCATGTTCTTCGTGACTTGATGGTTGTGAAGAGAATTCTGCCATTATTCTGATGAGGTTTGCTTTTTAAATGTGATCTGTTTCTTTTCTCTAGCAGCTTTTAGTATATTATTCTTGTGCAGGATTTCTGAGATCTTGATTATTATGTCTGGGTGTGTTTTTAATTGGGTTGATGTTATTTGTAGTTCTATATGCTTCATTAACTGAATGTCAGATTATTTCCCCATATTTGGAAAGTTTTCTGCTATTGCTTCTGCCCATATTCTTTTTATATCATTTGTATTGACTCCTTCTTTCTCATTGATGCCTATTAGTCTTACATTGTTCATCTTTGCATTGTCTTGCAGTTGTTGAATTATTTTTTCCTGCATCCTAGTTGTTTTTAAGAGATCTTTTTTTTTACCTTTTCACTAGCTGCAATGGTGTCTTCAAGGTCTGAAAGTCTATCTTCACTTTTATTCAAGTGGTTTGGCCAGCTTGTGACTGAGGTTTTAATTTCTAGTATATCTCTTTGAATCTGCTTCATGTATTCTATTTCTTTCTTATATTGCTAATCCAATGATTCCATCATTTTTCTATTCTCTATTTTTTTAATTAGTGTCTTCTTTAGGAGCACTTAATAATTCTTTCATTATACTTATTTCTTTTTTACTTTAGAGATTATTTCTAATTTGATTTCCTCTATACCTTTCTGCAGTTGTTTCTTTACTTCAGATGCTATTATTTCAGAGATTTCAGGTGTGTGATATCCAGTTCTTTCTATGCTAGTGTCTCCTGCATTGTTCTGCATGGGCTTGGGGCCTGAGAATTTATTTTTTTCCTTCTCTTTGTCATTTTGTATAGCACTGTCTTCTGCCCTTTGGTGTAGAGTTTTGCGGGGCAGTTATTACCTTAGTATGTGCTGATATTGTTACCCAAGAGAGATTATGTGTTTAAAGCAATTACAGTTTTATATTTACAGGACTATAATTAGCAACATTAATAATGGGTAGTGATATTTAGCAGTTGACAAACTTTTGTATTAATGAGTTTGCCTTTTAGACCTTAAGAACAAACATTATGCCTGTATAGCCAAGCAGATATTAGATCTGGAATTTGTACTTAATTAGTTCCCCTAAGTGCTATCTGATCACCTCCCCTTTTGTACCTGTAGTCTTCCAGGCAGACTAGTTTATCCCGGTTACCTGTTGTCTCTCTCTCAATCAAGAGAGTATGCTCTCATAGATCTGAGTCTAGCAAAGTGTCTCATCTTACCAGGTCTGTATCTACCAAGTTCAAACTCGTCCAGGTGGGCCTGGCTTGGGTCTGGCTGCTGTGCTTTGCTTCTTCCTGCTGCAGACCATGGACGTGGACCCATGGTGCCCCTCTGAAAAAATGTTGTGCTCCCGGATTAGTTGGGTGGATCTCAACCCTTGCCTCTCTGCAAGGGAGTTCTGTTGCAGGGTTCAACACCAGACCTGCCTGATGGAGGAGGTTTATGCGAGTGTGCAGAAGGTCCCACTCACATGCTGCATCTGGGGGGTGCTGTTGGAGTAGAATCCGGTGGACACAGAAGGTCCCACATACATGCTGGGCCTGGGGGGTAGGTGATGTAGAATCTGGCAGGCAGGGAATGTCCCACTCACATGCCAAGCCTGCGGGGTGGCAGTGGGATAAAATCCGGCCTCCTTTTTCTTTTTATTCCATCCAGACTATAAGCATTTTAGGTGATGCCACCCACACCCAGAACTATAATAAACCAATTAATAGACCAATTTAATATCACACATCTGTAATCCCAGTATCACACCCTTAAGCCATATTCACATACCCTACATCCAGCCATTTTTAAAAAGCTCCACCTATGACCTCATGAGGCTTTGGGGGGACACCTAGATACAAGCCATAACACTCTGACAGCAATAAATGACACATATATGGTTGCTTTGGACTAACCCTTCCCTGGTTTGTCTCTCCTTATGGCTATCACCTCAAAGCAGTGGCCTGTGGGTTATGTAGATGAGTCTGTATAGGTTACTGACTGCTTGGTGTTAATTCCTCCTGCCTCAGGAGGAAGCAGGGGGATGTCCTCAGTCCCCTGGTCTCAAATACTCACCTTGGTTTCCTTTCCTCCTAGAAGACAGGAGCAGCCAGACCTTAGTGCAAAGGAGCAACACACTATCTGGCCTGCTCCTTACCAAGAAAACAATCCGGATCTAGAAGTATACAACATCATAAGAAAACAAAGTGAAGCTGACTTAGCTGAGCCCCGGCCAGACTTGAAGAATATTTCATTCCGGGTGCACTCAGGGGAAGTCACTCCTGACGACATGTCTTGTGACTATGACAACATGGCTGTGAACCCTTCAGAAAGTGGATTTATCACTCTGGCCAGTACAGAGAGTGGATTTGTGACCAATGACATCTACGAGTTCTCCCCTGACCAGAGGGGAAGGAGCAAGGAGTCTGGATGGGTGGAAAATGAAATATATGGCTAGTAGGATGCATGAGAGAAAGACTGAAGTGACAGGGATAGGAAAGACATGAAAAGCAAAATTTTCTGCTTTTTATAAGGAAAGAGGTCTATAGAAATGCTCAAATCAGGTCCTCGGGTGAGCATGAGGTCCCCATCATCCTGCTGGATCCCCAAGTTCTGCCTGTATCCCTTATCCCATTTTCTCTCTCAGCTAGCTCTGCCTTAAGAGAAACCAGGGTTGGACATACAGTAGAGTCTCAATAAATGTCAGTCAGTTGGTTACCTCTGACTTTCAATGGACAACACTTTAACTGGTAAGGATATGGGGTTGTGGCTGTGGCGCTCGGAAACTCGATCTCTAGGTTCTGCTTTCCTTGCTCTGTGGAGGAGCACATGTAATCACAAAGTGACAGAAACCATAGAGTCTTTTAAATGCTCAAGTGTGGTAGCCCCAGGGTGGCCCCATCAGCAATTCTCATATGTGGGCTTTTTGTCTTTTTCAAAAGTTAAAATCAAGTAAAAAGCAGGAAGCAGAATGTTAGTCTGTTTCTGTATCCCTTTCTTTGCATGGGACTTCAGAAGACCTGTTTTAAAATTATTATTTATTTCTCCTGACATCTGAACTTGGTATTAATTTTGAAACTGCAAAGAAAATTTGTGCCTCTTCTTCTTGTTGTATTTATATTCCGACCCCTGAAACTATACATTGTTCTGTTTGCATGTTTTACTACAGCATTGACATATGACTTATAGTAATAATAATCCTGTCTTTGTTTAAGGGTCTTGACTATTTCAAATTCAGGGAAGTTTCTTTGCTGAGTACCAGTCATGCACATTTTGTAAGCCTAAAAGCCAGAATTTAAATCACTACCAATTTCTTTCTCTCAGCTTAATAATCTTATCATTTTATTTTATTTTATTTATTTTTTTAATCTTATCATTTTAACCTTCACTCTTATATCTTACTTTTTAACAGTTTAGCAACTAGTCACATTTATGAAGCTATAAACTAAATGAAGCAACATCAAAAGCAGTACATCCTACATACTGCCCAACTATGTGCCCTTCTGGGAACAAAGTAGATAACAAAGTAGATAACAAAACTATCACTGCTACCCTCCCTGAAGGCATATATTGTGGAGTAACAACATTTGAAGACCAAACAATGTACATGTCGGATGAGAGACAGATTCACATTCTCTCTCTCCCCCCCCTCCCCCCCTCCTCTCTATCCCTCGCTCAATGTCCAGGTTCTCACTTTGCTTCACACGTGGTGACTGTATAATCTGCCTCCTTCTCCTTCATTGTGCTCCACAACTCTGGCCTCTGTAGACTTCCCACTCTGTGAGGGCAAGAATATTCTCTGTACCTCGTCCTTGTACTTCCAGTGCTGTGGCAAGCAGGCAACCAGTGTGTGTTGAATGTGTGCACAATGAATCTTTCAAGCTGATGTCAAACTGCCCAAATATTGCAACTGATAAGTTCTGTTGAACTTTCTTTTCACTCTTGAGTGGAAGGGTTAACTGAATTTTATTTATTTATTTATTTAATGTATTTAGGGTCTACAGGTTCTCACTACACAGATGGGCTCATAGTGATCCTCCTGCTTTCAGCCTCCCAAGTGCTGGGATTACAGGCATGCACCACTACACCCAGTCTCTGAATTTTAGTTTGAAAAGAATTTCTGCTACCTAAGAAACTATATGATAGTAACAAGCAGAAGCTGGTGAACTGTGAGCAGCTGACTTTAATTATATCAGTAAAAGGAGAACCAAAGAGCCATCCTTCATCTGAAAAGGTAGCAAGGTTGTAATGAGGGCATACTCTTTGATCTTCAGCATCTCTGCTTTGTCATTAGTCTGTTATCTGCTAAGACTTACAGATCTGGGACTGCACCCCGCGAGTCTTAGCTGTGTTTTGTTTTGTTTTTGAGACAAGTCTTACTACATAGTTCAGTCTGGCCTTGAACTCACTGTTTCAAGCAGGCTGGCCTCATTCATGGTAATCATCTTGTCTCAGTCTCCCCAGTGCTAGGATTACAGGCATCTGCCGCCACACCCAACACTTCATATTTTAATTATTCAATTTCTTGTTTCTTCCTCAGATGTATTAGCCTCTATATATTATATACATTATATATATATTTGTCTTTCTCCAGTAGTTGCATTTCACTTATTTAACAAAGATTTGCTATGTGTTAAATGTTTGCTATGTTCAAACTGAGATCAAGCTTATTCGTTAAATTAGTATAATCTGGAAAGTTAGTAAACCTGTTTCATCTTTTAAAATTGGAGAGTGAGGCAAAAAAGATTTCAACTTTGAGCCTAACCTGGTCAACTTAACAGCTTAGTGAGACTCTGTCCCAAAAAATAAGAAAGGACTGGGAGCTATAGCTCAATGTAATACTCCCAGTTCAATCACCAGTGAAGGAGAAGGACAGAGAGAAATGATGGGGGAATGAGTGAGAGACAGGAAGAAAGAAAGGGGAAAGTTCCCCTGGGTTAGCTCAGTGGCATGGCATTTTTCCAGCATGTGCAAGACTCCAGGATCAGTTCCCAGCTCCACAAAAGATAAAACAAATTGAAATGGTAGTTCCAAAACATTACTTCTTACTATCACAAACATGACAGATGAGATGCTGAAATGTATGTATCAGGTAATCTCTTGGGCTTATTCATTCAATAAGCTATTTTTGAAAATTCACCATAGGCCAAGTACTGAGCTAGATGAGGCCCACAGTCAAATTTCAGGCTGAGATTTGGAGAAGTTGGGCTATACATTATACACTTTTCTAAACAGCATAGCACTTATTTCATGTTATTCATTCATTTATGCTACAAGTTTGAAACACATCTACTCTTTAATCAAGAACTACTAAGTGGTAGGCAATTAGTGGCAGATAATGTAAATAGACCCCATCTTATACATTCTAGTTTAGAAAAAGAGATATATCATAATTTAAGTTCATGAAAAGACTTTGCTATAGTTTGTTTTAAAATTGTTCACAGATGTTTCTATTCTACTTCCCCTTTCCCTTTTTTCTTTCTGGTCTTTAAAAAAATTTTTTTAAGTCTTTTATTCACTTATTTGGTACACAGGGTCTTGCTACACAGCTCAGACTCATAATGATCCTCCTGTTTCAGCTTCCCCAGCACTGGGATTCCAGGCCTGTGCCACCATGCCCAGTTTCAGGACCAGCATGGCATCCCCAGGATTCCACAGCCAGCACTGCATGTGGTACCAGGGATTGAACCTGGGTCCAAGCAGGCACTTAGAGTGCTGAGCTATCTCCCCAGCCCCTTCCTTTCTGCTCTTGAAGAAACCCAGAGGAAGGTAGGGATCTATGTCTAGGAAGGAGATGGTGCTTGATAGCTCACAATGGGATAACAGCCCAAAAGGGTGAGGAAGGTGTCCACAAAGAACAGAGACTTAGTGTTGGTGTGTCCTGAGTGGTTGAGAAGGATGTCCACCCAAAGGATGGTGTGTCAGGAACAAGGGGAAGTTAATTGAACATAGCAGGATTGATGAAATAGGCATACTCATAATAATGAGCCAGGATTCTCTCAGAGATGGAAGTTATAGGTATGAAAATAGAAGTTTAAACTCAGACTAGGAAGGATATGGGGCTCTGTCCTTCATCACAGGGAAGATCTAGCAAGTATGACAACCCCTGCACCACTACCTACTCGCAGCACTGAGGTCAGAAATCTGATTACTTTCTCCATCTAGTAGTCTGAGCAAGGACATCCTCATCTTGGACAGAGCTGGAGGGTAGGTGCAGCTCACAAACCCACAGGCCATAGAACGAAGTGGAGAAAAACATAACTGGCTGGATTCCAAAGCCGCAGATCCTAAAAAACACTCATTCAAAAATACAGAAGATCTGGAAAAGGAGCTCATTTTTCTTTTCTTTCAGTAGCTTTTAAGATTGGGGTATGTTTTTCTTTAATTTTCTCTTCTATGCTTTTTCTTTTTTTTCTTTTTGATTGTTATTCTCTGTTAATTTTTTTCCATAATTTTATTGAGAAATAGCAATGAGACAGTTTCAAATCAAATTGGTAGGACAGTTTCAATAAATAACACATTGCATACTCTCTTCCTAATGGTTATTTGCTATACAAGATGCAGACATGATATCCTATATACAAACACTATTAGAACAAATCCCTTTTTTTTAATTTTTTGAGGGGTACTGAGAATCAAACTCAGGACCCTGTGCTTACCAGGTAGGTGCTGTGCTGCTGAGCTCTATACCCAGCCTCCTCTGTTGCTTTTATCTAACTCTATTAATTTTCTTTTACTTCCTAATTGTTCAAATATTTTTTCATTGTCTCATTCTCTGCTTCTTCTCTCTTTTCTAATATAGTCATTAAGCTTGATTAATTTTTAGATACTGAAGTGTATGCCATTACACTTGAATTCTATTCTTAAAGAAAGTATAGCTGTTGCATTTAGTGTGATTTACCATATGCAGGTCATGTGGTTCAGAAGCTATTGGAACTAACTTGCAACAGGAATTTGAAAGGTTTGGAAATGACAGCTGAAGAAGCAGCTCTAGAATGCAGTAGGTAAGCATGATGGGAGATTCTGGTTAGGACTCAGAAGATCAGAATGTTGACTGCAGTCAGGCTGGAAAAGACTAGGCTCAAGGGCCTCCAGGTGGGAACAAAGACCTCACTGGCAGTCAGACTCCATGTCATATGTGTTATGCTCTGACCAAAAGATTGTCTGCATTTTGCAGTCCAGAAACATTGTAGAAGACTAAGATTAAGGACAGCAGACTAACTCATCTGGTAGAAGAAATTTCAAGACAGTCTAATGCTGAGGCAGTGGTACAGCTACTGTTGGCTTTTAGCTATCTCCATATTGAGAATCAACAGTAAGTAGCTGAGTAGAACGATTTTTAAAAGTTTTGAATTTGGCCAGAAAGAAAGCTCCAGTAAGGTTGTGGTCTGCAATGATAGAACAGAGAAGAATTTGACTGTTGAAAACTTTAGTCACAAAAAGACTATCTTGGAGAGAACACTAGAAAAGGTGACCTTAGCACATCACAAGAACCAGCAGGACGCCATCTTTTGCAGCCTCAAAATAGCAAAGGTGAAACTCTGAGAAGCGAGCCCCAGAGCCCCATATTCCAGAGTGATGACATTGAGATGGCCTCCAAAGCCTTATGTGCTCATAGATGGGGCTTTTTGGAGGTAGCTGGGTATAGGGTGTGTGAATACAGATTACAAGTGTCTGATAACTGGATTAGTCAACAGATTTAACTCTTAGTTCTGCATGTGGTGG